CATCACACCTGAATAATAAGACCTTCATTTTAAAACAAAACATTCTACCAAATCCTAGAGATTTTACCTATAAAATAATTCTCAAATGTCTTTCTTCATTTCTATTAGCGTTACCATTAAACATATCCCTTGGCGAGGTTAGTGCACTACATTGTTGATGGGGTTCAGGGCAGGCCGCTCCAAGATCTGCCACTCTGGTATGCGGATTATTTCAAGCTGAAGACAATAAAGGCTCAGAAGAATCATGAAGGATATTTGACCTTCCCCCAAACTGCCTAAAAGAATTTAAGATAAGAGGCCTGTCCCCAGGACAGGACAACACCATAGATAACTCTGGGTATGGATAGACTGGGAGGGTCCTTGCTAAGCCCATTCTTATCAAAGTTCTGTTTACCAAACATTTACATCTGTAAGGGAAATCTCCATTTGTAAAGGTATCTCCCCCTCTGTACTGAGAAGAGGAGGGTGATGACCTCATCTCTAGAAACTTATCAATGCAAAAGGTGAGGCCTTAAATCTGTGTAATAACTTTACTCTTGTTTACTGTGCTTTTCTGGCAATCTCCCATAGCTGACTACCCCCACTCCCAACATCCTCCTTTGTTTTTACCTGAATCTATTTAAGAGAACCTCTGCCATTTTGTTGAGTTACCCAGTGGGTCTCTCCCTTATATACATGTTATCAAGCTTTGTTTGATTTTCTCCTGCTATTTGGTCTCATGTCAATTTTATTTGTAGCCCAGCCTGAAAGAACTCAGAGTGGGCAGGGGTGAGTCTTCCTCCCTTTCACTGTTAACGGGTCTCCCAGTGTCTAGACTCATCTCTTCTAATGTCTCAACTCTTCTAATCCATCCTCTATCCTGAAATCAAAGCAATCTTCCTAAACTGTGAATGGAATTACCTCTTGCCATGTTAATAATATTCTGGGGCTTGTATTGCCACTGTGCGCACACACACACACACATACATACACACACACACACACACACAGTCCATCGCCTAAGAAAGAGAAATAAACGTGTGTGCTGTTTCAGGCCAGACATAACTAGACTCCATTAATAGGACACAGCACGTAAGTGAATAGAGTAATACAAATATGTAATGGTGCAAATACTCTTTCTTCCCATCACCGGAAAGAAAAACCCTTTGATGGTCAAGATGAGGCCTAAAAGAAAGGGTTCAAGGGGCCGGTCCGGTGGCATGGTGGTTAAGTTCATGCACTCCGCTTTGGCGGCCCGGGATTCACAGATTAGGATCCTGGGCATGGATGGACATGCCACTTATCAAGCCATGGTGGCATCCCGTTTACAAAATAGAGGAAGATGGGCACAGATGTTAACTCAAGGCTAATCTTCCTCACCAAACAAAACAAAAAAAAAAGAAAGAAAGGGTTTAAAACGATCTCCTAGACTATGTTTCTTAAGATGTTAATACATGTGTTTTATAGAAGTTTTCCTGGAAAATTTTCCAATCTATGACTGGAGAATTCCTGAGAGTGTCTTGTAAAGATGCTTCCTTTTCATGGAATTAACACACTACTATCTAGTAACCTTAATCAAAGATATCTCAGTTCTGTGTACTTCTTCTAGAAGATAGGCCATATGTATCAATTACAAAAGAGAATTGTTAAGCCTTCAGTTATCAAATCTTATTTGCTTTTGTTGATGGACCTACCATTGCCATGTTACAATGAGGTAAGACAGTGGTGATGAGTTACCATCCTGGGCCCATGGTTTCCACTGAAATGTAGTAATAATTACGCCTTAGGCACACAGTAGTAGAGACTGGGCCAAGGGCATGGGAAGTGACTTAGTTTTCCACTCCATGTGGAGCAAGTTCAACTCCGGACCTATAATCATTGAGTCAATGGAGGACTCCCATCTTCACCAGAGTTCCTGAAGAAATGTCTCATTTGATTTGGCAGGTACTGCATATTCAGTAAGAAATATAGGAAGGACAAAACTGACCTGTGTTAAGTTAGGCCAATTGCGGTATCAACCTCCAAATTTCAGTGACAACACAATAAAAGTTTATTTCTTGCTCATGAAATGCTTAGTGAGGATATTCCTAAGTGGAAGTACTTCAAGACTGATTCAAGGATCCAGGCTGCTTGTATTTCATTATGGTCCTGTATTCAATATGCAGCTTCTAAGTTTGCCACAGAATCTGAAAAGAACATGGGGAAGATGCACTGATACTTAACTACTTCTATTCAGAAGTAACATGTATCATCTCTGCTCTCACTCCATTGGCCAGAGCTAGTCTCAAGACCACACCCAATTGCAAGGACCCTCTATCTCTTAAGCTTCAAGCCTCCTACCCTGACCCAAAATTCACATACACCCACACAAACACACACACGCAGGTCACCGATGAGTACCGCTCCACAGCACCAATTCTATACTGTGGAATGGGAACACAAATCTTTGTTGATCAGTAGATTATCTGTGCCACAACCTTAGCATCCTATAATATCAATTTCATGGTAATATAAATAAAATAATAAGAGCGAACAATCACAACCTAGCCTGGCTCAGAGAAGAAAGGCCTCCTTAGTTCAGCATGTTCAAGAACCAAATCTGATTCTACCCAACAATTCTAAGTTTCACATTTTTTCATGTTAGCACCTCTCAAATCAGAATGTGTCTCATAATTGACAATACATTACAATTATAACGGGCAGAGTTTGTTTTTTCTGTCTCAGTGGCAAATAAAGTAATGGAATATCTTACAATCGGTGGTATCTTATATTCAATGAAGAACAGTTTGTCACTAAGAGGACAAAAAAACACAGACTCCATTCAAGTAAATAGAGAAAACAAATGGTTAAACAGAAAGAAAGAAATTTGTTTCCTAAGGACTCCTTAGAACATGTACTAGAGTAATGTGTATTTTACATCTACAAAGGGAAATAGAGTACTCAATTTTTCCTAACTTTTTTGATCCATACAACTCTCTCTTATTTTTGGATACCTGTTATTAGTTTTGTATCCATTAACATTCCATCAACCAAGGTTCCTCTGATGTATAGTACAGAAAATGCTGCTCTTAAGCAGAAGCATAAAGGGTATTCCTCTGGCACCTGGTGACCCAATTCCTGGGTCTAAGGCTAGGTCCTCATGTTAAGTACTGCCCTGTACGTCTCAGTATTTTTCTCCCAAATACCCCTAGTACTAGGGGCAAGTGAGTGCACCCCCACAGGGGCTATCAAGGCAAACAGCCTACGTAGTGCCTACTCCTCCCCAGCCTGAAATGTGTATGATGTTTCCTGCGTTATTGAAAAATTACTTTGAAATTCCCACCTCTGTATTGTCTATTAGAATGGAAACTCCATGAGGGTAGAAGCTTTGTCCAATGTTCACATAAATGAATGAATCAACAAACAATATGTCTGAATTTGTTTTTGATATGTAGCTGGTATTTTAGAGTATTTGTCAACTTTCCGTACTGGGTAAGGTGACTCTCTTATAAGATATTTGGTGATGAGTCTGGGGCTTTTCTTGTACTTTCCTACCTCCTACCTCCTACCTCCTGGAGGTACATGTGTCCCAGGGTAAGCAACACAGAGAAGTATGGAGTCATAGCAAGTGGACCAGGATGAAAATCCTTGTTGTAGTAAAGATCATGCCTTTTCCTGGAGTAGGAAAATCCTGTTGGTCTCTTTCAGTCATGAACCTGTGGCAGAGGCTGGTTCATTATGGCCAAGAGAGTCTTCCCTCTGTTCTGTCTCCCTACTCCCCCATATTGCTCAGTGAATCTCTGCTGGTCCATTTAGACCCTGGAAAAGAATGGTGTAATATATAGAGGGCTATATTTAAAAATATTTAATTATCCAGGTTACTTCCTGGCATCATCATTTCCTGGTAGGTGAATTATCTTTAAATCACTGGGTTTCCTTAACTATATAATGGAAATAATGCTGTGGCCTAATTAATAATATTATTTTAGGGTTAAATGAGACAATGTATGAGGACATACTTGTAAATGTTACAACTTTACACAAATGTTGACTATCATTCATTCATCCATTCACCAAATATCTACTGAGCATTTAACATCTGCCAGGCACTGTCCTAGGCACTAAGGATACAGCAGTGAAAAAATCAAACACCCTGCTCACACAGAGCTCATGTTCTAATAAGGAGAGAGCAAATAGCAATTATAAATAAGTACATTACAGGGTATGTTAGCAGATGGTAAGGTCTGTGGGTGAAAAATTAAAAGAAAGTCAAGGAGATGAAGAGTGGTAAACGGTACTGAGGTTTTAAATATAGCGGTCAGTATAGGCCTCACTAAGAAAGTGACATTTTGAGCAAATTCTGCCAGCCGTGTAAATATCTGGGAGAACTTTCCAGTTAGAATAGTGGTTCTTAACTAGGGTTCTCAGCAATTTTGCTCCTTGGGGACATTTGGCAATGTCTGGAGACATTTTTGGTTGTCATAACTTGGGAGCAGGGAGTGTTGCTACTAGCTTCCAGTAAGTAAAGTTTAGAGATGCTACTAAACATCCCACAATGTACAGGACAGGCCCCCATCCAAAATATTAATAGTGCCAACGTTAGGTAACCCTGAGTAGAGGGATAAGCCAATGCAAAAGTCTAACAGCAGGAAATTGCCGGAACCAACAAGGAAGCCGGTGTAGAGAGGCACAGGTGGCCATCTCGATCACTTATGGCATTGTACGCCATTGTGAAGACTTTGCGTCTTCTTGATACCCACCCTAGCCTTCCCAGGCAGGCATCTTCACTCTCTTCTCAGTGCTTCCACAGCAGCCATCTGTCGTGCTCAAGAGGGATTGATTGTTTGCCTCTCTCACTAGGCTTTCAGCAAACTGATGACAGCAGTCAAATCTGGTCCATCTCTGTACACTCCATGCCTATCACAGTGCCCAATACCCAGTAGGAGCTCAATGCATGTTGGTTGCATCAATGATTTTCATAATACCTTTGGATGATAATGGCAGTTGATTTGATTTTCATTTCGTATACAGGCTAATAGCCAGCCCTGATGGTCTAGTGGTTAAGATTTGGCGCTCTCACTGCCATGACCCAGGTTCGTTTCCTGGTCAGGGAACCACACCACCCGTCTGTTGGTTATACTGTGGCGGCTGCAGGATGCTGTGATGCTGAAAGCTATGCCACCAGGATTTCAAATACCAGCAGGGTCACCCATGATGGCAGGTTTCAGTGTAGCTTCCAGACTAAGACAGACTAGGAAGAAGGACCTGGCCACCCACTTTCAAGTGTTCCACTCTGCTGGACCCACGGTTGCTGGCACTAACTCGATGGCACTAACAACAATAAATACAGGCTAATAAGATCCAAGAGAGGACACATTGTGTCTGTTGCATCCACATATGTAGCCCCAATGGCTGGTCAGTACCAGGTACATAATAAGTGCTCAATAAACGATCAAATAAAAGAAAGAGTAGAGGATATACAATCAGTCCTTCCCTTGATTGCTGGTCAGTCAGATTTCTCCACTTCTTAGCAACTTGTCTTGAAAAAGAGAAAGGAGAAATTGAAAAGGAGTACCTGTCTTTTTTTCTAGAAGGCAACCTATGACAAAACACTTTGAGCTGGTATCTGACGCAACCCTGTGCTAGACTAGGAGGTCACATTATAGCACATCACTGTGGATAGCACATGCTTGCGTAAGCCAGGGCACATATCTTTGGGAGGAAAAGGGTAAGAACATGAGTAAATAAATGTTATTTGTCAACTAGGTGGTGGACTCTACAAGTACCTCTCCTTTTCTCCTTTCTCCCACACTAGAGGAATCTGGGAATCTGGAGATGATGAGATGAGGAAACAGTGAACAAATATGCAAACTGGCCAAACACACAAGGGGTACTGAAAAGTATCCAGTGAATGCTTTTCTTGAGGGTAAAGAGATACCCTCTTGAGGGTAAAGAGACTCTACGGATTCAATCCGTAGAGTCCAAAGAGTGGTACAGGATTTGGATTGACATTTCTAGTAGAATTAACTTATCTCATGCACTCTCCACAGGTCCCCAGCTTTATCCCTAGCCTTTGTGAGAACCCTACTTATGAGCCATACCTTCTACTGCGGAAAGTGTCATCCCCAACCCCTGTTCCCGTGTGCTGTCCCCCACCCCTGCAGACACTTGGTCCCTAACCATTCTCCTGCTTCCAAAGTCCAGTCTTCTGCTTCCAGTCTGTTCTGTTAGCTACAGACTTCAATATCAGTTGTTAGTTTTTCTCTGCTTGGCTTGGTGTTGTTGATAGGTAGCTAAAAGGGGAATCTACAGATCCTAAGGAGAAGAGCGTGGGACAAAGTGGGACATTGTGAAATGGCCACCAGATGGGGGGGGCCTAAAATAAAAATAGACCAAAAATATGGATACTTACATGGTGAAGGTGAAACTCTTTTCAACCAATTATTTTATATTTTATGCTTCTATAAGTACTTGCCTCCTTTCCTGTTTTGAGTCAAAACGGGAAAAATATTAAAAAAAAAACATTTCCTAGCGACCTGGTTTTAGAAGGTTGAGGCTCCAGGAAGCAGGAAGATGCAGAGAGAAAGAGAAAAATAAAAGTTTGATGTGACATTGTGGAAAGGGATTGTGCTTGGGGTAACATAAAAATATGTTTAGAATACTAAACATAAGTATGCTTCTATTTCGACTCTGCCCTTTTGTTCCATGCTGAAGGGACCATGCCTTTTTCATCTTTGACTCTTCTAGACCTTAGCACAGGGAACTGCTCAGAGAAATACCCATTTATTGTCTCCTGAATGACTCAATAAAGGAATAATCTCAATGACTTGGCATGGAACAATAACTGAAATGCATGGGCTATGCCTTCAAGTAAAGTCTGTGCTTCTAATACTTCATAACTTCCTGGCAGCGTGACTTCAACCAAGTTACTTAACTTTGATAAGCCTTAGCTTCCTTCTCTGTACAATGCTTCCTGTAAGGAGGAAATGAGACAGTGTAGGCTAAGACCATGACAACTTTAAGATTTATTATTTTGATTTATGTTAATACATGATGGAGATTTCTCATTGCTCACGGAAGAGTAGCACTCAATGCACCTATCTGACCACAGACAGCTTATTCTCAGTTGATTTCTTTTCTTTCTTTCTTTCTTTTTTTTTTTGTGAAGATGATCAGCTCTGAGCTAACATCCATGCCAATCCTCCTCTTTTTGCTGAGGAAGACTGGCCCTGAGCTAACATCTGTGCCCATCTTCCTCTTTTTTTTTTTTTTTGCTGAGGATGATCAGCTCTGAGCTAACATCTATGCCAATCCCCCTCAATCCTCCTCTTTTTGCTGAGGAAGACTGGCCCTGAGCTAACATCTGTGCCCATCTTCCTCTACTTTATATGGGACGCCGCCACAGCATGGCCTGTCAAGGGGTGCATCGGTGCATGCCCGGGATCCGAACCCCAGGCCGCCAGCAGTGGAGTGCGCGCACTAAACCGCTATGCCAGGGGGCTGGCCCTCCATTGATTTCTTAATATCTTATGTCTTTGGGTCACTTGGATTTTCTCACAACTTGAGAAGATGCAGAGTAAATGACTGATGGATCTCCTATTACTTTGTATGTTGGGTTTTAATTGCCACAAGCCGTTTCCTTCACCAAAGGAGCACATGACATCCTAACCAGGACTATTGGAATTGAGTGTGAAAAGGAGGGGGTGATTCAGGGTGTTTGGGGAAAAAACGTGTCTTCCAAGACTTCAGGCTCAGCTCAAAGCTGATCTCTACCTAGTTCTCTGGTTCCTTCTTCTGCCTCCCCTACTCCCAGCCCCACCCACTCACACATACCAGGTTAAAGTGATGTTGCTTTCCTCTGAATTTCTTTAGAAATAGTGTCCTAGCCCTTATGCTTATTAATCTGTTTCGAAAGGCCTTTTGTCATAGTTCACATCCTTCCCAAACCAAGACAGGAACCTTACTTTGCACATATATGTTTTCTATATAGCACTTCATCCTGCAGTAAAAATCAACTAATGAAAGGAAGGAAAAAAGTAAGGGTCGAAAGAACAGAAAGGAAGGAAAAATAAAGGGAGGGAGGGATAGGGAGGGAGGGAAGGAGGAGAGTGGGAGGGAGGGAAGTAAATGAATAGACTTGATAGCAGAATAAATTTTTAAAAGTAAAGTTTGGAAAACTATCCATAAAATAACTCCCCCAAACAAATTAAAATTATTTGACACAACAATAAAACACAATGTGAAGCTCAAAAGTGATATAATTAAAAAAGAAAAAAATCTTCATTCGCTAAGAAGTGAAGTGAATACTCTCTCTATTTCCTTCTAGTAAGGTGCTCTGGAACTCCACAGTCAGGTCTGTACAGTGAAGGCCACGGGCCCAGCTGCCTTGGGGCCTCTCAATAGGCATTTGCTTCTTTTCCACCAACTACAAGCCTTTGCTTCTGCCTCTGTCCCAGTTCAGCTGGAGAACACATGCTAGAGGATTGGCCATTCTAAAATCTCTCTTCTACACTTGGTGGGTAGTTTCCATGGAGGTCTCTCATTCCTGTCAAATTCCTTCACCTTTAAATGTGCTGAGAAGTGAGTTTGAAATTAGACTCAGAGCCATATGGCAAAGCTGAGGGGCAGCATATGGTTGCTGACTCCTCAATGCTGACCTATAGCATCTTTAAGCTCACCTTCTCTCTCTCTTTACACAGGAGGCAGGGATAGGGTCAGAGTTCTGTATTTTGAATTGCTCTGTCCTTCATGTGGGAAAATGAGACCCATACTACAGCATCCATGTTAAAACTTGTTTTAGTTTTCCTGGTCATCATGGCGGTAGAGTGCAGAGAAATATCTATACTCTTACTTGTGATCAATGAGAAATAAATTGTTAAGGATAAAGATTCAGTCTTGGAACTTGAACTATGGTCTGTCCAATAGAAATGTGACTTTAAGTCAACCTAACTAGGTCTCACCTGCAGATTTGGGTCATGTCAGCGTCAACTGCAATTGGGGATAAATCAGTTCCAAGGATTAGGGAGCATACTGCTAAACAGGTAATACAGTGAGATGACAAGTGGAGAGAAGAGTTCTGTGGTCAAAGCATGGAAGCTAATAATTTTTTAACAAGCTGAAAGACTTGAAAAGAAGTGAGTACAGAAGAAAAGTGGAGAGTCAACTGCAAAGAATCGAAAAGAAAGAATAAGCAACCACTAATTCACTTTCTGTCAGTATAGATTTACCTATTCTGGACATTTCATATAAATGGAATCATATAATATATGGTATTTTGTGACTGGCTTCTTTCACATAGCATACTGTTTTCAAGGTTCATCCATGTTGTAGCATGTATCAGTACTTCATTCCTTTCTTATGGCCAAATAATATTCTATTATATGAATATACCACAAATTGTTTTTCCATTCATTAGTTGATGAACATTTGGTTTATTTCCACATTTTGGCTATTATTAATAAGATTGATATAAACATTTGTGAACAAGTTTTTGTGTGGGCATGTTTTCATTTCTCTTGGGTATATATCCAGGAGTGGAATTGCAGAGTAATATGGTAACACTATTTTTAATCATTTGGGGAACAGCTAGGCTGTCTTCTACAGTGACCATTTTACATTCTCGCCAGCAGTGTATTAGGGTTCAAACTTTTGCACATCCTCACCAACACTTGTTATTATCTTTTTATTATATCCCTCCTACTGAGTGTGAAGTGGTATCTCACTGTGGTTTTGATTTGCATTTCCCTGATGATTAATGACATTAAGAATCTTTTCAAGTGCTTATTGGCCATTTATATATCTTCTTTGGAGAAACATCTATTCAGGTTCTTTGTCCATGTTTTAATTGTGTTGTTTTTTTATTACTGAGGTGTAAGTGTTCTGCATATTCTAGATACTAGTCTCTTGTCAGATATATGATTTGCAAATATTTTCCTACCGTTCTATGGGTTTTATTCACTTTCTTCATAGTGTCTTTTGAAGCAGAAATGTTTTCAGTTTTGAAGTCCAAATTATCTATTGTTTCTTTTGTTGTTCATGCTTTTGGTGTTGTATCTAAGAATCCATTGCCAAATCTGAGGTCATGAGGATTTATCACTATGTTTTCTTACAATAA